GGCAAGCAGGCATGCATTGTATGTTTTATCGTGGCCTTCTAAGATAAGAAACTCAACATTAGAGCTTTTGTTTTTTTCTTGGACTCTAGTCAGCAGGAAACTATGCCGTTCTATATATAGACCAGGGCACTGAGCCTTCCTGAGTCGAGAATGTATTTGGAGCTTTTTCTTTTTTTCCAGGAGTGGTGATGAATTTAAATTACTTCATTCACAATCCCTTCCTCTGCCCTTTCCAAGGACCAGGGCCCCACGTTTCTGAAATCCTGTCTGGGATTTCAGGATGGGAGAAATAAAACCATAAGATGCACAGAGTCTGACCAACAGCCCATCCCTCCCAGCATTCTCCAGTTCTGATGGAGGAGCCAAGCAGTGGTGGCCTTCTAGCAGAAACTCCATCAGCACACATCAGCGGGGGTCCTAGGTCATGCTTGGCTGGATGGTGGTGCCGGGAGGGCAGGATGCACAGAGGGGAGGCGTATGTTTGAGACCCGGCTGGGTCACTCACTAGCTGTACATCTTGGTTTGGCTTCTCATCGGTTAAATGGAGACACCTATCTGCCCACCTCATAGGTTTTCTCAGAGATAATGCTGGTGCACTGTGCTTTGTAAATGTCACTGTTTTAACTAGGGATGCACTTAAGCAACGACCATACATCATAAACCAGTCATTACGGATATTATCCATGAATTTATTAAAAACACTTCCTTCAGCTTTTTGCTTGTTTTTGGCCTGAAGAATCTTTCTGGACAATGGTTTCTGAGAAGATCAAAGAATCAACAGTCACGCAATGGGCAAGAGCAGGTTTTCTACTGATGCACATAGGAAATCAGGAGCAGAGTCTCTCTCTTTTGAAAATATACTTCCTTTTTTATCCTCTTAAGACTTCAAAAGATGTTAGTGGTTTATACAGTCTCATTTTAACCTGCCCCACCCCCCAAGCAGTTTACTCATCACCTTGCAGGGGAGGATCCGTCCTGCTCACAATGACATCACCTTGCACTGAAATCACATCAGGCCCCTGGGAATCACAGTTACATTATAAAACAATATCGACGTGCAGCCACTTACAGATAAATCTGTGCCTCACAATCAAAGAAATGACCTAAAGTAAGAAGTTGCCAGTTCTGGCCTCAAGAGGTCAGGGACAAATGGTCACTGATACAAGAAAGAGAATCCTTCCCTGGAAATGCATTTCATTTAAATACGTATGTAGTTTCACAGATGATGAAAAAAACCCTGAACTTCTTCGAACAAATGCTACTTCACAAGCAAATGGCATTTGGGTTTTTGGTTTCATTCTTGCCAGGCCACCGATGCGTGTCTGCTTATCATCGCGAACACTCTGATTTGCAGATGGAAGCATTCTTAGCACAAGCCAACACAGTAATTAGACTGTTATGGCTACAAGAAACCTTGGAAATCATCTAGTTCACGACCAAGAATTATTCTTTAGAATTTCCTGTGACCTTGGAGGCCACATGGCGAAAAAGTAGTTGTCACCATGGAATGTATTTATACTAGGATTATAAATGAGTTGTGCTCTTTGGAAGGTCTAAAAGTAATTATGGAATAATAAATAATAGGATTCGAGGGATTGAAGGAATCTGGGTGGGGCGGGAGAGAAGGGCCACTGTTTTCAATTTCTTCTGTCCAAAGTTGAAATTATTCCTTTTTCAGGAATTCTTGACAGGTAGAAATTTAATCCCCAGCTAAGGTGTAAATATAAAAATGGGGATATTATAAGCAAACAAAATAAACTGTTCACATACCTAAACTTGTCAATATTATTTCAGAGGCGCCTGGGTGGTTCGGTTGGTTGACCACCCGACTCTGGATTTGGGCTCAGGTCATGATCTCAGGGTTGCAGGATCGAGCCCTGCGTTGGGGCTCCACGCACTGTGTGGAGTCTGCTTCCCTCCCTCCCTCCCTCCCTCCCTCCCTCTCTCTCCCTCTGCCCCTTCCCCTGCTCCAACTCTCTAAAATAAATACATCTTTAAAAAATTATTATTTTAAAAGAAAGATCACAGATATTATTAATTGTGTGTATACCAAAATACTTGGCATGCAGTATTCAGTAAACATTACGAAGAGTTCAAGATGGTTTTGGAACCCTTCCTGCATCTGGTTGACCATCATTGGTCTGGACTTGTTAACACAGATGCACAACTAATATCCTGGAAGAGGTAAAAAATCATTCTATTTCTAGAAACATTCACAGTCACGTTAACGACCTACTTCAATCTATCTCACACAAGGTTACAGAGTTGGACGGGTCCTCAGCAAATGATCTCCCCTATTAGGTTTTCCTTTATGAAGTACACGAGTAAAGCATCTGAGACCGCTGTTAGCCTATCCCCTCCCCCTTTTTTAAAAAAGATTTTATTTGTTTGACAGAGAGAGACACAGTGAGAGAGGGAACACAAGCAGGGGGAGTGGGAGAGGGAGAAGCAGGCTTCCCGCTGAGCAGGGAGCCCCATGCGGGGCTTGATCCCAGGACCCCGGGATCATGACCTGAGCTGAAGGTAGACGCTTAACGACTGAGCCACCCAGGTGCCCCTAACCTATCCTTCTTGAAGACCTCCAGTACCCTCTCCAGCGGTTCCTGGATCCTTCCTTAGGTCGGATTACAATCTTCCGTTATTTCTCTCATTCTCAATGATTGGTCCTCTACAGACTTGGGGGAATAACTGCCAACTTCCTGCCTTTTCATAAAAATCTCACCACCCATTTGGAGACAGTCTGTATCACTCCTTCCCCTCATCTGCCTAGAATGTTCTCTCATTTCCTTTCTCCCTCTTCATCTGGTCATTCCTATCTTTTGGATTTCGGTTGAAATGCAGCTCTCCAGAAAAGCCCACCCAGAATCCCACCTACTAAGCTGACCCCCTGCTGTATGCCGTCCTCCCTCCCTGACTCACCCAGTTTATGCTACCAGCAGACTCCACACCCTGCTGGGGCCAGCAACCCTCCACACCTGGTTCATTTTTCTATCTGCAGGGTCCAGCACAGAGCCTGGTCCAGAAAAGGTACTCAGTAAAAAATTGTGGACTGATCTTATGGATGCTAAGGAAACACAGGTACTTTCCTTTTTAAATGTTAGAGCTTTCCTGTTCTAGCTGTCGAGGGATTCTGGGGATAGGAAAAGGTAAAGGAAAATTGAATTTATTAGAGATGTATTCTTTTGTCCACTTTAAGACCCATAGATAGCAAGCAAATGCATCTCTCTAGAACTAAATGTATGGTTCTTAAAATTTCCTAAACCAAACCCAACGGGTGAAAATAAAAGGGTATTAAGAACATAATTATTGACACACATGAGTGATAACAGGAATGAAAACATGTGAATTTTTTGGTTTTTTTTTTTTTTTTTTTTAGTTTCAACCCAGAGATTTCAATTACTCCTCCCATGCTAATACACTCCCCTTCCTCTAATCTGTCAGGATGCCCTTTCAGCCACCTTCCATCCGCTTGTGCCTATTTTTCAGATCTCTATAAATTCCTAAAATTCTGAAAGTTAAGTTTTAGTCTTAGTTGGAGGATACTGAAGACAGCTGGACGATCCAATATGAAACTCTCCACCTCAACAGTTTGCTAGAAGAGCCATGGATGATCACTTTCCCAATTTTATCATATACAATGAATATGGTGCAAGAGAATTAAACGAAGGGACAATGAACTTCAGTAGGTCAAGTCCATCATCAACATTACAGTATCTTGAACTCAAGTCTGATACTACTCAATGTGACAAGCAAAGCCCTATGTGTGACTTTAAATTTTATTTATTTATTTGAGAGAGCGAGAATAAAAGACGGAGAGAGAGCACATGAGAGGGGGTAGGGTCAGAGGGAGAAGCAGACTCCCTGCTGAGCAGGGAGCCCGATGCAGGACTCGATCCCGGGACTCCAGGATCATGACCTGAGCTGAAGGTAGTCGCTTAACCAACTGAGCCACCCAGGCTCCCCCTATGTGTAACTTTAAAGGAAGACACTTTTACTTTGTTTCTAATATCTACAAAAACAAAATTCACACAGTTCAACAACAGCTCAACAACGGGATGGGGAGTGTACCCACAAATAAAGTTTCTTTCTACAATTAAGGGAATTTCTAAGAAAACATTAAACATCAGATGAAAATACCTTTCTATTCAAAGATCAGAAGAACTTAATAACATTCATTTTTACTAAATGTTCGCTGAGTACTTGCTACACGACAGGTCCCATGATGGACTGGGAAGTTGAGTGGGAAGACAAGGCTGGTTCCTGCCCATATTTAAGAGAGAATATACATACAAACACACAACATGAGGTGGTGTGTGCTGAGAGACGCAGTCCAGAAGGAGGCAGAGCTCCCTCTGGGCATCTGAGAAGGGGTCAAGAAGGACATGGTATTTCTTGAAAAATAAGCAGAATTTTGCTTTGCAAAACAAGGTGGAGTGGGTGGTGGAGAGGAGAGGAGAGTGCACTCCAGACAGGGAGTGTTCCAAATTTTAGGATCATGAGAAAAATACAAAAGGTTAAAGACATGTTCTCACCACCATCACTTAATATTTACATAACGAGTGTTTGGTGAGAACTCAAAGCTCAACAGTGACAAAGAACATCAGGAACACTCTAAATGTCCATCAGCAGGGAATAGATTAATAATCTAACCATAGTGGCTACCAAGGACTCTATATCCATCCATCCATCCAACCATTCTTCCATCCATTCATTTGTTTATTCACTCCAACATTTAGTAAGCACCTATAGTGAGGTCCTATTCTAGGCGCTCAGAATACAATCCATCCATCCATCCATCCATCCATCCATCCATCCATCCATTTGTTTATTCACTCCAACATTTAGTAAGCACCTATAGTGAGATCCTATTCTAGGCGCTCAGAATACAATCCATCCATCCATCCATCCATTTGTTTATTCACTCCAACATTTAGTAAGCACCTATAGTGAGGTCCTATTCTAGGCGCTCAGAATACAAGCCGGAACAAAACAGTTCTCACCTCTGTGGACCGTATATCCTATTAGGTGAGAAAAGCAATAAGCAAAACGAAAAGCCAGCGATATAGGATGTTAGATGGGGAAAAAAAGCGACAAAAGGAATAAAGGGGGGCTGGAGAATACACTGTGCTGGGAAGAGGGTTGTAATGTTAAGTAGGGAGATCAGGGAGGGCCTCACTGAGGAGGTGACAATTGAGTACAGACCCAAGGAAGGTGAGGGAGGAAGCCCTGAGGATATGTGAGGGAAGAGCAGTCTAGAACGAGGGAATAGCACAAAGGCCCTTTGTCCGAGGGCACCTGGCAGTCCAAGGCTGTGAGAACAGCGAGAGAGCCTTTGTGGTGGGCGAGGGTGGGCGGTGCGGAGGATGAGGCAGGGAGATGCTGGCCATGCTGGCCTTCTTTGCTTTTCACTCGTAAGTGCGCTGGAAGGCCAAAGAAACATTTTGGGCACAGTTACTATTATGGGTTATTGTGTCCCCCTCAAAATTCATGTGTTTAAATCCTAATCCCAGTACCTCAGAATGGGACTGCATCTGGAGACTGTCTTTAAAGGAGCGACTGAGCAAGATGACATCATTGGGGTGGGGATGGTGTTCTCACCAAAGGACTGGTGATCTTATAAGAGCAGATTAGGACCCAGACGCACACAGAGGGAAGACCACGTGAGGACCCAGGGAGAAGGCAGCCGTCTGTGAGCCAAGGAGAGAAGCCTCAGGGAAACCAACCCTGTGGACACTTGGATCTTGGATTTCTAGCTTCCAGAGCTGTGAGAACATAAATTCCTGTTGTTTAAGCCACCCAGTCTGTGCTACTTTGTTATGGCCGCCCTAGCAGACTAATGCAATCAAGACCCAATTTCTGTGACATGTTGTCTGTTTGACTGAAGGGCAGGAGCGGAGGCAGGAGACCAGGCAAAAGGGACAATGGAGGCCAGACCACTGGGTGGGAAGTGGCTCATCTAAGACATATTCTCAGTGTAGACCTAACAGGATCTGCCAACCCCTCAGACGTAAGGTACGAGAGAAAGAAGGGTGTCAAGGGTGACCCCAAGATTTCTGGCCTGAGCGACTAGAAGGACAAATTTCCCTTTTCCTTAATTAAGAAGGACTTCTTTAAAGTGTATTCCCTTAAGAATCTTCCCCAAATTCCTTCAGGGTCAACAAGGATACAGATCCTATCTTCATTTTACCAACAGGGAAGCCAGAGCACAGGGAACTGATGAAGTGAATTAAGATGAGAAAGAAAATTGGTGGCTGATTAGGATTTTAAGTCTGAATTCCAAGACTTATGTCAATTAGATCACAGAGCTTACTGTGGATCTTAAAAACTGCATGATACCTGAAACGAGAAAATGTCACTTTCAAAAAAGACACTATGAATCAAATATTAAAAAAAAAAAAAGGAAGGAAACAAGTGAAGACCATGTCATTTTGGGAAAGTGACACAAAATCTCCAATAAGATTAGATCAAACCTATTTGTAATGTGCCTTTCAGGGGCACTGAAGGTGAATTTTTATGTAATTTGGTGTAACATTCACCACTGTTTCTTGGATACTTTCACTGCATGCCACGCAACAGGATGATGAATTTGGATGGAAGAAGTCACTTGTTCTTCACAAACAACCCTAACGAGGTTGGTGGTGGTGTTATTACCCCTGGTTTACAGATGAGGAATTGAAGGCAAAAAGAAGGGGTATCTGGGCTGACATCCCAGCAGTTAGACTGTGGAACACCGTGATGCGGGGCCCCCTCCAGCGTGGCTGCCCTGCCGAGGGCAGCCCTGTGACCTTGAATAAATATGGCACTCTTCAAGTTTGCTTCAACTTCGTCTCTAGTTCCCTCCTCCTGCACCCCTCTCCCAAATCTGGTGAGACAATGCTGTAAGTGCCCAGCTACATGTCACATCTTTGCATCATCGAGGAAGTTCAGGTTACAGTAATGATTAAGAACTTGTTCATATCTATAGCAGCATTATCAACAATAGCCAAACTATGGAGAGAGCCCAGATGTCCATCGACTGATGAATGGATAAAGAAGATGTGGTGTAACGATGGACTCTGAAAAACAAACTGAGGGTTCTAGAGGGGAACGGGGTGGGGGGATGGGTTAAGCCTGGTGATGGGTGTTGAGGGGGGCACGTTCTGCGTGGAGCACTGGGTGTTATGCACAAACAATGAATCATGGAACACTCCATCAAAAACTAATGATGTAATGTATGGTGATTAACATAACAATAAAAAATTTAAAGAAAAAGAAGATGTGGTGTATATATACAGTGGAGTATTACTCAGCCATCAAAAAGATTGCCATCTTGCCATTTGCAACAACATGGATGGAGCTAGAGAGTATCGTGCTAAATGAAGTAAGTCAGCCAGAGAAAGACAAATACCTTATGATCTCACTCATGTGTGGAATTTAAAAAAGAAAACAGATGAACATAGGGTAAGGGGTAGGGGAAAAGAAGAGAGGAAAACAAACCATAGGAGACTCTTAACGATGGAGAACAAACGGAGCGTTGATGTAGGGAGTGGAGGTGGGTGGGGGAATGGGCCAGACAGATGATGGGCATTAAGGAGGACACTTGTGATGAGCACTGGGTGTTGTACGTAAGTGATGAATCACTGAATTCTACTCCAGAAACCAACATGGCACTGTATGTTAACTAAGTAAAATTTAAATTAAGAAAAAAAAAAAAAAGAACTCGTTCACACAAATCAGAACAGTATTCTTGGGAGAACACAAGCAAGATGGTAAACAAACCATCTCAATAAATGGTTATTATAACGAACCTGGGATTATTAGTGTGGAAGAGAGAAGCCCTAAATAAAGTCACTGGTAGCGACCTTCAAAGATTTGGAAACTTTTCACAGGAAAGCAAGACTAGAAAGAGAACTGAGGGGGTCTAAGTTAGGAGAAGTAAAACTTGTAACCTAATATAAGAAACTCTGTAATAATCAAACCTTCTTGACAACGGGGGTGGGCTCTCTGGGGCCCTTGGGAGGTCCCTGTTCAAATGGTCAGGCATCCTGTGGCCGGCAGCGGGCTGGCTGCCTGGATGTTCTCCATGGTCCCTTCCAGTGACAACAGGGCTATTTATTCAGATTTATGGCCCGAGGTCCGGCATTAATGCTCCTTAATTCCTCATCTAATTTTCACATGACTTACAGTGTTTCATCAGGAGCCGACCACAGGAATGCACCAAGGCCTGACAGGTGACATTCCATGAGACCTCGGGGGCTTTGCGGCTGGCATGCTTAAGTGCTCGGGAATGTTTCTTCCTGCTTGCTGTGTTTTTTGGGGTCACTGGAAATTGTCAAGGGAAGAGAGAAATGATTCTTTCTTTCTGTGCTAAGCTTGGTCAGAACAAGGATGAAATCATGTTGACAGGCAACCGGGAGCATTTGTAGGTAGTTAAAAGGAGGGCAGCATCACCAGAGATGGTGGCAGATCCCGCACTAATGGGAGGTGGCCTGTGACACCGTTGCTTCAGATCCATCCAGGACTTCTGGAAGACCCAGATGGGGAGGCTCAGAAAAATCTCTCCATCTTTATTTGTTTGGGAAGAAGGCCTCTCTTTCCCTGGAGGGTGATCTTGTTAGAGTGAGGCACACGTTAATTCCCTATGTCCTGGCTGGTCTATCTGAATACCCCTGTAACCTCGACCCAAGGCAGGAAGGGAGGGAGACAGGAGGTAATGAGAGCCTGAGGGTGGTACAAAGCACAGGGGATCGCCTTGGCCCAGCAGCCAACATCATGCTGTTGCCCTTCCTGCCCCTCTTCCCATAATATCATCTGTTCTCTTTGATTCATTTCAGGAAAGAAATGACCTGGTTTAGGTCCAACAGACCTACCCACTGGTCTACATGCAACTGAAATATTCTACAAATACACACAGAAATTACTGAACCGAAAAACAGCGTGTCCCTTGTTGGTTAATACTTCCCACTGAACCTTTGAAAATGGCATATTTCAGTAGAAACGTATTTAGCAACTACCATGATCTCTCGAGTATCTTTTTCAATTGCTTAAAGCTCCTGTGAGATACAAAGGCTTACTGGGCACACAGTAGGTGTGGAGATCGGAAATTATGTTGACTGTTAGCTGTTTTCAGGAAAGCAGCTGTACTATTATAGGGAGAGTTCTGGATCTGCAGTAGGACAACCCAGGCTTGAGGACGTGTCCCCTTGACTTACTACCTAGGATGGTGCTTTTCAAAACATCTATGAGGAAGGACCTGTTTTGTTGGCTGGTTTGGTCGGTATGTTTATCTATCTTAATTTTCAATCTGTCACAAACTGATGCTTTTGTAAAATATAATAAAAAATCTATAAAACCGGAAACCCTTTTTTATTATCAGATTCAACAGACATAAAATCATTCTGTCAAATCGCTATAAAAGTGTCTTAAAACTTGGCCTCCATTTTTGTACCTCCACTGTTACCGATGGGCAACAAGCAGTTTGCTGACCACTCTTGAGAAATTGGCCTTGGGGAACTTACTTAGCCTGCCTTAGTTTCTCTACTTACTCAGGCTCCCTAGGTCATGTGAAGATTAAGATGATAATAAAGATATATCAAAGACTAAAAAGTGCCGTCCAAATTGAAAACAACTACTTTATTAACAATAACAGTAGTTGAAAAGGATGCCAAGGGGCCAAAGAAATCTTTTTTCCAGCGAGGGGAAAAAAAAAAAAATATTAGTTGGCAATCGAGTCAGAATTCCTAGCAACAACTACTTCCCCTTGGAATTACATACAGCCCAAACACAGAATACTTGGCGGCGAGTCTGGAAACTATCACAGAAAGCTCCTGACCATGTCCGTCTTGCCTCCGGCTCTCTGCCTGGTGACCGGCAGGACCTTCAGACTGCAATTTTCCCATCGGCAGGACCCAGCTAACTAACAGTTGTCACTACTCCGGGACAGGCACTCAGGGTCCCAAGCTCAGACACATCGTGCACAGTGGATTGCAACACTTTCTTCTTGTTGTGCTAGGGAATTAGGGCAAGCAACATGCCTTGGAATCATGTTGGGAAATCTGGGAGAAGGGGGGGTAGTATTTGCGCGCGCGCACACGCACACACAGCACGAACAATTCAGAACGAGTCCTTCAGGTCCTACACGGGGCTCGATCTCACGACCCTGAGATCATGACCTGAGCCAAGATCAAGAGTTGGACACTCAACCGACTGAGCCACCCAGGCGTCCCTGTCTTTTTCCATCATAAAAACAATACACATAAAATAAAAAAGTAGCAGTACAGAAAGATATAGAATATAAAAGTAAAAGAATTTCTCTCCCATCTCCCCACCTGAGGGATAACCACTACTAATAATTATATATATATATGCTTTCAAAAAATGTTAAGATTTATAGAAGCATGTGTTATATATATAACACGTATATATTACTCTTTATATATATTTATGTATTTAGATATATTTATATGTAAGTACATATATTAATATATTTATAGTAAGTATTTAACATATTAAATATTTATATTTAAAATCTATATTAAATATATTAATATATTTATACACACTAGTATGTTTATATATTACTTATATATTTATACATATTATGCTATTTATAGAGTACGTGTGTATACATATATGTTACATTTTCTTTCTAATAAATATAATTGTTCTATAGGTTGTCAATTGACAATACTATTTTTTTTTTCTTCCACACTTTCCTTGACATTGAGTTTTTGGTCTGATTTTACTTCCAAATTTTCCCCCAGCGAGGATGAGCCATTACCCTGGTCTTTGCACCTCTGAGTCACGGTCAGATCCCCAACTGCCACCCTGCCCCCGCCCGGCCCGGGGCCACCGAGCCAAGACCACCCCCCAGCCCTCCCTCCCCTTCCCCAACCAATTACCTTTCCAGCCTCTGCATGGTCATGGCCAGCGTTTTGTTCAGCTCCTCGATCATCCTGCAGCCAGAGGGGTGCATGGGGAGGGAGCCAGTGGTGGAGGGGAGGTGCGGGCCGAGACTGCCGTACTGCAGCTGGTGTTGGATCTGGGACGGCAGGACCGTGTGGTGATGCTGGGCCCCACTCTGCGGGCCGCTCTTCTGGGCCGCGTAGGATGCCAGGGAGAGGTCTGGCCCCCCGACAGGCATGCAGATCATGACTTTCTTTGGAGGTAGTGGAGGCGACAGTTTGACGGGCAGACAAGGCAATTTCACAGGGCCGCCAGGATCTGTAGCACAAGGAGGGCGAGAGGCAGCTGTGAGGTTGGGGGCACGGGAAGAAACCTAGACCCTCACATATGCGCCCACCCTGGGACCGTGGGCCCTGCCGTGGGCCCTGCGATAAAATGCACCAACTGAAGCCACCAGCAAGGCGAGTGCCCCTCAACAAGTACCCACCAAACTCTTAGTTCCTGCTGAAAGTGGGCTGGCCACATCAAGGGTCCTCGGGGACCCAGGCATTGGCGACGTCTGTCACGCAGCTCTCGGGCTAAGTAAGGCTCACTGGCAGCAGGAAGGGGGGGACGAACGCAGTGCATTCTTCTGTTCCTGGAAACCCATGGAACTTCAAAGAGACCCTTTCTAGGATACGCCATATTGTCTACAATTTTGCCACTGTCATGTGAAAATATCCTTTCAGTTGGCACTTTCTAACAGGCATGGGACTAGAAGCCAGTCCTAGGTTCAAGTCCACGAAGAGGATGTCCCTCCACAAGTAACTGTGTGCCGTGCAGCTCATCTCTCTTCCTGTCCACACTTGACCCCATGAGGTCTGAGCTCGGTGGCTGGGCTGGTTGGCCCACTCACGTGGCATCCAGAGTTGGGTTATTTGAACTGTAGGGAAGCTCCAACAGGCACTCCTGGGCCTTGGTGGAACCTGCACACACCCAGCACCCCTCGGTTCCGGGAGGGAGGTTTTGAAGCTTCCCAGGCATGCTCCAAACTCAGGGGAGCTGCAAGGCAGACCAGCCCTTGGGCCACCTTTGGGACAACCTTGCAAATTCCTGGAGATGATCTAGCACGGGTGGGGGGCAGGGTTGAGTCTTGTGGGCTGCAGGCTGGCCTGGGAGAAGCTCGGTCAGGAAGGGCACGGTGGGGGAGGGGAAGGCTGTATGGCACATGTCAGAGCGCTCTCGACTTCCCACCTGGTATCCACATCAGGAGGACCGCAGGGCTCTGCGTCTTGCTCCTAGAGGCCTTAGATTTTTCTCCATCTGTCTGTCTACTCTGAGTGTGGCCTTCGTCAGTTTAATTTCCCCACAGTTCTACTGAAGTGACATCCCGAGGGCACCAATCTGCTGTCACACCTTCATTTAAACCCCACCAATGGCCTAGAAATAAAGCCCACCTTCCTGACGCGTCATCCAAGCCTTCCAAGGTCTGTGTGCTGTTCAGCTCATCTCTCTATGCCCACACTTTACCTCCTGAAGTTTGCTTTGGTTCCCCTATGAGAAACGGCCTCTCCTGTCCTATCTGAAAAGCCTTAGATCAGGGTCTCCTACGACACCTACTGCTTTTCTCCCGTGGGTTTTCCTTATTTGCTGGCCCACAAATTCAGTCTCCACCCTCCCCTAAATCCCACGGAGGGGGGGCCTTTGTCCCTCACATTCTCCACGTGGGTTGTCGTGGTCCTCCCTGGTCTCCTCAAAGCCCTTTTTGTGTTCCCCAAACTACCTGATGTTCGCACACCCCTGGGCCTCTGCTACATTCTCTCCTCAGTTTGGAATATTCCTCTCTGTTTTGTCTTCTGGGTCCACTCCTCCTCTCCCTTCAAGATCCAACTCAAAAATTACCTCTTCCAAGAAGCCTTCCTGGGTCATTACAGCACTCCTTCCATTCCGCAGCCAGTGGACCTCCTGCGGGTGTGAGGTGGGTCCGCGCCCACAGCAATGGTGGCCACAGTGATGGGGGAAAGAACTCTAGCCGCCCCTTACCCCTGCCAGATACCAAGTGCTTTTCACTTTAATCCTCACAGCGAGCCTGTGATGTAGACACATCATCATCTCGCTTTTGCGGACGATGCCACTGGGCTCTGAGGACACCGAATGGTGCTTCCTGTTTACACAGCTTCCCCTCTGCTGGAGAACCAGGACCTCGAATAACGTGTCACTCTCTCCTTAGCATCTTGTACGGCGCCCAGTGCACACAGCAAGAGGCTCACAACGTGTTTAGAGAATGAGCTGATGTTCTGATGCTCTGCGGTGGGATGAATTCCCACCTTCTTCCCCTAGAAAGAGATACTCTCCGGGACGGGGAGGGGAGGTACATGAGCATGAAATGAAAAACAATTTTAGGACCACGCAGCCGGGGGTATATGGACACTAAATAGTGGATCCTACAGCTGATACAGGGAAGCTTCATACTTCCAGGGGGCCTGAGAAGCTTGCTCCCCAAGGCCAAAATGCCAACCGGTCATAACCATGGGGCTCCCTCATGCTCCTCCACAAAGGCTCATCCTGTTCGTCACCATCCCCCACGCACAGGATACAAAGTAACCTAACCACGTTCAGGGGCATGACCAATGGTGCTCATTCCAAAGTGGCTGAAAGGCAGAAACTCACCCCGTGTCCAGTTCCTGCTACTGAAGGGTCCACTCCCTTGGCTCTTGGAAGGCTTTGCGCAACCCTAGTAAATGCAGTGTGTCTGGACGTGTTAAGGGTTTCTATCCAAGAACCTTTACCCGTTATTCCTTCCTTTGTATTCCTAAGGCAGGTAGGCGCTCACTTGCTTGAGCAGGAGGGCAGCATGGAACCGTCTCTCTGGGAAGGAACGGTGATTACCTTGGGTTCTACCATCTTGCTAAGCTACACCTTCCTGCACACACTCGACCACCGTGCTTCCTGCTACCACTTCTGCAGTAAAACTTACCTGGCTTCTTCACTAGGAAAATGGCCAAGGGGATGCCAGAAAATTCTATCGGAACAGGCAAGGAGGTAATGACCAAATTAGTGGACATGGTTACTCTCATTGCTTGAGAAAAGAGATGCTGGGGTCCTGGAGGACCCCTTTCTCTTTTCCTGCCTGTGTTTCTTTTCTGGTTGTTTCACTACCCACGGTCATCAATTAAATAGGGGTAGGAAATGAAGATGAATTACTTAAAATAATTTTTTAGCTCAGCAGATTTGGTAAAAAGGGAGGAAATTGGGGAAAAGGTTAAAATCAGGTGGAATTATCGGCTTTCAGTGAATTGGCTCTGTAATCCCCATCTTTCTCCAATATGGTAGACGAGGGAGGGGGCCCAGGCAGCCCAGATCTTTAGTAACTCTCAGTGTCTATTTTTGTATCTCCATGATATCTTAATACCAAGTCATTGCTCATAACAGATCTGGAGCCATCTACACACCGTCTGCCATTCTGAGTTTCTATCGCTTTATCTTTGTCCTTCTCAAACTTCTGTGTTCTCTGCCCCCTTGACAACTGCACCAGTCTGGGACCTCATCTCCTCTTGTAGGGTGGGTAACGGGGTCCACCCTTTTAATACATCTGCACCCCATACCAGAAATCTTCCTCTAGCACACATCACGCTGGAGGTCCCCCCCACGACTCCCTGCCCCAGTCACTGCTGCGGGCCATCCGGCTCCGTCCAGTGCCAGCAGGTGCCTCCTGCCCTGCATCTCCCTGGCCACTCTGGTCTCTCTGGACAGGCCAGCTTCCCCACTGGGTTTCCCAGTAACCATGCTCATCCTCTCTCAGGGCCTTTGTCACACCTGCCCCCTGAAACACCCTCCCTGCCCGATGGTCAAAATGGCATTCACCCTTCAAAGCACAACTAAAGACCCAACTCCCCCCCTTGCAGGCTTTCCTGCTCCTGGTTAAGGCCAACTGCATTGGGATGGCTCCTCCCATGCGTGCTTCTGCTCTCCCTTCAGGGTGCCCAGAGTGGAGCACAGCGAAGCCCAGACTCCTGCAGCCTCGTGGTTCTCAACCCTGGGGGTGCGTTAGGCTCAGACTGATGGAGACCCTCCCACCCCTCTCAGGGGTTCTAGTGGGATTGGGGGGGGGATGCCAAGGTTTGTGTCTTTTAAAAGCCATGTTTGAAAACCACTCAAGCTCTTACTCTTGTTCTTTTCTCTGAAAACAAAACAAAAAAGAGCACTAACTCCTTTTTCTAAGTAGATGCCACACTTAGCCCAGAGCCCAGGGATGCGGGGCTTGAACTCACGACCCTGAGATTAAGACCTGTGCTGAAATCCACAGTCAGATGCTCACGTGACTGAGCCACCCAGGCATCCCAAGAGCACTAATTCTTAAGCAGAGTTCTTGGACCACCTGTGACAGTCCCCTGATGCTTGGCTAAAAGTTTTTATTCCTGGCCTTCACCTCTGACCTACTGAATGAGAGTCTCAGGGCCAGGTGTTTGGATTTTAAATGCTTCCCAGGTGCTCACCATATTCAGGGAGGAAGAGGAAAGACTCGGAGAGAACCAATGATTTGGGAGGGCTAACCTGCTTGGAGTACAATGCTGCCCAAGGCGGAGATATGATGCATCTGTTCCATCCAGCCCCTGGGCCAACGTCCACCCTGAGTGGTCAGCGGCCCGGTCTCCAGGTTCTATTTCTATGCCCCCCACACATAAAAAGTACAAGACTAATTTGCAGGAAACCAATGTACTGAAAGCTACACTGTCTAAGATCTATTCATCTAATGACTAGCTTTGTCTAAATCTAACATTTGCAATTAAGGGACTTGTCTTAAAACCAATTTGTCTAATGGCGCTTCCAATTTAATTTTATATTTATAAAAATCACTTATGGATGAGCATTTTGTGGATGAAAAGATTTCTTAGATCCTCGTGGGTGCATTTTTTCTGTTTTATTTGCTTTAGAATACTTTAAGTACATTTCAGACAAGTTTGCCTAAAGAGCCTTTCTTCAAAATTTTGTCTCAAGCAATAAATACTTAATCATATGTTTAGCTTTTCCTACTGACTTGATTCAGTGCATCAGATTCCTCTTGTTTCCTTCTTACTGATTTTCATATGTCCTATGTGTACTGTATGCATGTATTAAACAATAAAGGAAACACACACCCAATACTCATTTCTGATTAATGAGGCACTGACATTTTTGTAACAAGAACAGACTGAGATGAATAGATTGGGAATGGACTGCATGACCCCACCGTTTCTCTCCAAGATGCCAAATTCTTACGGCAGTGATTTCAACCAACCTCATAGGGAAGGTTTGGGAGAGGCAAATTCCTGAGCCTCAGTCTCAGAGACTCAGATTCA